ATGAATTCCTGGGGCCATTCTGACCCAGCAATCAGGATCAGGCCCAGGGCAGTCAGATATTTCCTGAAAGGTGCTGGGTAGAGGTGGCCTGCCTAGTTTTTTCGGGCATTTTGGGGGAGGTGGGGATTAACAGCTGGCAAAAATGGCACATCCATCCTGCCTCAGGAAGCAGCAGTTGCACAGACTGGCTACACTTGCTCCCATAATCAGCTTGCTTGTCTCATTTGCATGTGTAATAACCAGCATGTATGTACAATCATGCTAATCACTTCAAGGCAACTGCTTTAAATTCATCTAAACCCCTGCCCTGCCTGTCCTTGGGTTATTTAGCTTCCACAAAGGAACCATAGCAGCAATCCAGAGATTCACCTCACAAAAATCTTTGTGAAACAATCATAAAGTGCCTGAGTGAAGGAGAAGTTTTTCTGGAATCCTGCCCATACATACTGAGACTTGCACTACCAGCCAGTGCCATCATTAGGAGCCCATCCAACAACTTCTGCAAGTAACCTAGAAAAGTACCTAAGGGGATTTTCACAATTTATGGTGTGTTGCTGCAGGTGAAATGTAAGAGTAAACACAGAAGGAAAGAGGAAGGGAACCACAGAGCTGCTCTCATGCAAGCTGTTAGTGGAAATGGTCTGAAAGTAGTGCAGGGAAAAGCTAGTCTTTAACCCTGTCAGCTTTATGAGCAGCTTAAGGATTGTCTGTACTGCTCTTCCGTGGACACCTTCCCAGTAAGACCTGGCCTGTCAGGACTCCTGTCATTAGGTCCCATGAAGTCCACGTGAGGACAGTGGAGAACATCTGCCATGGATGTGGCTCCAGAAGTACATGGACTCCTGCACCTGCCTGTGTCACCAGCGTGTGCTCAGGCCAGTCATTTTAGCCATCTGTGGCTCCCATTTTCCCCCCGTGCTTCCAAATTTTAGGGTGCAAGCTTCTCCAGTGTTTTAGTTATGCATTGTATAGATCTAATGCAAAGATGGGCATCCGAGTCAGAAGCTCTGGATGCACCTGCAGTGGTGGTGGAGGTGCCTTCCCCGATCCCCATAACAAGCCAACATATGCCAGATAAGCCAGCAGCCAGACCTGGGAGGGGCACAGCTTGCTCCATAAGTAGGAATATGGACATTTCAGCAGCACTCACAAAATCTAACAGGCCTCTGATGCTGAACTTTCCTGTCCCTGTTCCTTCTGCCAGTCCAAGCCTGAGCTCTAGGGACCTCTCTGTGGTTGAGCCTGTTCAACCTCTTTGGTTGCCAGTCCGAAAGTCCTCACCAGCGCAAGACCATGTTACATGTTTTTTAAGGAATCATGAAAACTAGTGCCACAGGAGGAGGCCCTCTCCCATTCTTGCTTCTGGTTCAGCAGTTGTGAGGTCTGGGGTCAGTGCTCTGGAGCAGGGACCACAGGTGCTTTTTTCCAGCAACTGGAAGAAAGTTTTCCAGCAGCTGGAGTGTCAGTCACTGCGGAGGGATAATTTCTGGTCAAGTCCAAATTGGTCCCATTGACTTTTCTTGTTAAAGAGGAGTAAACCTGGAAGAGGAAAGGAAGGAGGAAAGGCCAGGAATGGAATGAAAAGCCTGCCTGCAGAGCATCTCCAGAGGCACCCCTGGTGGTGGAAATGTCCCCCCTTCAGCTTTCCGTCTCTCATTACTGACAGTGGAAAATACAAGAGCTGCCAAGCTAGAGGCTCAGTACAGCCAAGATAGGAAACCTTATTAGAGAGACAGATGGTGATTTCTATAATCTGAAATCCCAGACTGTAAATACTTTGGGATAGAGCCCTGTGCTAATGCCTGACAGCAGCTGGATCCAGTTTTCTGTGCACAGCTGTTCCTTGGGTGGCTTTTGGTGGATGGTGGATGCTACCAGGACAAGGTGTGCTTTACGGAAGATACTTCATCTCACAGGTTTTTGTACTTCCCAACTCAAAAGTGCTTGCAATACCTGAGGACAGTCACCTCATATTTAGAAGTTTTTCTTAGCCTGACAAGATTCCCAAAGATGTATGATTGCAGCAGACCGATTAGGGGGGAAATCTCTATCTTGGGAGCACAGGTGACACCTTGCTGCAACTTGTGGAAGAAATTATAAATGTCCCTCTCTCTTTATTGCTTGGCTTCATGGCTAAATCTGCTAAACCAAAACTGAATATTACCCTTAGATCTCCCAATTTATTTATTTATGTTCATCTGGCATTGCCTTGATCTTCAAAGCAGGAAGGTATATCAAAGGAAACAGAAGGTTTGACACCAATTACTGCTTCTGGATGCCATTCACTGAATAAAGATGGAGTGTTAATATTTACACTGAAAGTGAAGGAGATAAAACCCAGGTACATCTAAGCCTACAAATAAGCCCTTCTGTGTGGGCAGAGATAAAGCCAAAGGAAAAGAAAAAAGAAATTACCATTGCAAAAATCCCAAACACCTTCCAAAATGGTGGGTTGTAGACAAAGAAATGACAGCAAAACCACCAAAAGAGCCTTCTGGAAAAGCAAATCAGACTCCTGCTTCTCGGGGGTGTCCAGGAGATGGTCTTTTGAAACAAGAAAAGGTTAACATCTAAATTTCCCCACGCTTCACCATGAGACACTTGACTTACATTTTATTCTCTTGAGTCTGAAGCCACCAGTTCAAGCACTTTTCCCTGTGTCCCTCTCCATTTCTCTTCATCCCATGGTTCTTCCTACTTTTTTGCACCCCCTGAGTCTTCCCCACAGCTTTTTTGGCTCATTGACCTGAGAAGCCTCTCAGTGAGGCAAACACCCCATTGCACAAGTTCTTGTGGGGCTGTTTGTATTTCAGCAGCAAATTTGTGGAAGAGGAAGGTAGCAAGGAGAGGCAGAAGGTTCACTAGCACTTGGAAGGTGCACAGCACAACGAACAACAAACCTTCTCTTGCCTGTTTAAAAAGAAAAAGGAATCTTCTCAGCATTTTTCCTGGAAACATCAATTTATTGACTGCAAGTGAGGCTATTCTAAAATTCCTGGTACTAGGGCATTGCACAGGAGGCTATTTACACTATGCACTTCTTCTAGTTCATCCAATTCACACAATGAAACCAGAGCATTTAATGGAGTAAATTCTTGTTTCTAGTAAAATCTTATTCTCCAGATTAAATTGCTAAGTCTGCAGTGTCATGTGCAAATCACAGTTATACAGTGCATTTTAGTGAGTTTAAAGGTAAATGGCTTTAGAACACTGATTTGGAAGGGATTTTCTTAACAGCAAGTGGTTTTTAAAATGCCCATTGAAATCAAGCTTTCAAAAATTGAAACTCTTGCCTTACATTTGGGTTTTTTGAAGGTATATGGGCTTTTCTCTTAAAACTATAGTTTGTTATATGAACTTAATTCAAGGGAAGCTTCCAACCTTTGTAGACCATTTCTACCTTTCAGCTACGGAGAAAAGGTCTTCTAGAGAAGACCACAGTGTTTCTGAACCATGTTGTACCTGCATATTTCTCCTTGCAGGAGAACCAGGCTTGTCCCATTGCAGCAACTGCCTGTTTGGGGATAAATGTCCAGAAGTCTGATATTTCCTGGCTGTTAGGATGTCTGTGCTGGGCTTGGCTGAAGAGAAATCCATCAAGAATTTCTTTCTCCAGTTCCCCAGGTGGTAACTGTGGATATTCTGGTATTTTAAGGCTGGCTGAGAAAGGTCACTGTGACTGTGTTATATTGGCCAGGAAGGAGGGTGTCAGATTTGCAATTTGCGATGCAGAACTTTTGTCATGTGTTTTGTAATTCATTGCTTAACGTTGTGTATCTAGTCAGCAGGCATATATATTGCAATCGATTTCATGCTGCTTTTCTATAAAAAAGGAGAAAAGCCTTCATAAGGGACCAGCTTACACTGAAGTGAGGACATAAAATGTTAGTCACATGTATGTGTGTTTTGCAATCGCAGCTGTTTTCTGGCAGTTACCTAAGAAACTATATATTATCCCACCCAATCAATAAACTAGAAAAAGAATTCACTGGTGGAAAAAACGCTCCTTGAATTGTCTGTCAGCTCTAAAACCTCCCTAAAAAGGCTTTAAAAGGATGTGTAATTAGGGAAAGCTGGAAAGTATAGAATTAATGTCTGTATAAAACAGGTACAGAAGGACAGCCTGCCTACGCCATCGGGAAGCTGCAAACACACTAATGCAGCGCTTCAGAGTCGGTGGCCCAGGATCTGATCAGATTTACGTGGGATTTACAGAGGCTGCTCACTGCAGAGCATTGCATAGGATCTCATTGCACTCTTCAGCTGTTTTCTGACAACAGATTAGGTCTCCAGTGGCTGGACCTGCCCTGCTTTGGCTGTCCCAGTGTCCAGTTTGGTTTGCTTGGATGTTTGGTCTTTCCCCTGGTCGGTCACTTGCAGAATAGCTCGGAGCTCAAAATGCCTTAAAAAGCTTGGTGAAGTTTTCATGTATTTCACAACCATCAAGTTTCAAATTAGAGATGAGTCACTAAACAAGAGTGTATTATTTGTACACTTACATAGTAGAATTGTACACACATCTCTGTAATTAGCCATAAGCACCCAAAATTACAGCTGTAACTGTGCATTAACTGGAGGACACTGCTCTGATCGAATTGTATATTCACAGTTGCATTCCTTCTTGCTTAAATTTCAGAGCCTGTTGTCCAGATGGGCTTTGTTGGGCACCTAATTAGTAGTTACTCAAATGCTCCTGCTGTGAACTGCTTCACAGCCCTCCTGGCATCCTCCTGGCTTCCTGGTGGCTGGGTATGTGTTCCTTGACTACGTGGAGATGAAGGCACGGGAGTTGAAGTAGATGTTTTATCTTCTTTATGCATCTGCCATAACTAAAACAGCTTCCAAAATAAAATCAGCTCAGGGTGCATTGGTTATCTGACTTCTGTGCACTGAGCAAAATTAGTCTTGCAGTGTGTAAGTGAAAATACAGCCATGTGTTAACAGCAGCAATAGCATAATGTATTCTGAGATGAACTCACTGTTTTCTCTTTCCTTTCCAGATTTTGGCAATCATTTCCATCATGTTTATTGTACTATCTACAATTGCCTTGTCCCTTAACACACTTCCTGAACTACAAGGCATGGATGAATTTGGGCAGACCACAGATAACCCCCAACTTGCCCACGTGGAAGCAGTGTGCATTGCATGGTTTACAATGGAATACCTCCTGCGTTTCCTCTCCTCGCCTAAGAAGTGGAAGTTTTTCAAAGGCCCCCTGAATGCTATAGATTTGCTGGCTATCTTACCCTACTATGTCACTATCTTCCTCACTGAATCCAATAAAAGTGTACTTCAGTTCCAAAATGTACGACGAGTGGTCCAAATATTTCGGATTATGAGGATACTCCGGATTCTAAAGCTCGCCCGGCACTCAACGGGTTTACAGTCCTTGGGGTTTACACTCAGGAGAAGTTACAATGAGCTTGGATTACTCATCTTGTTTTTGGCCATGGGCATTATGATCTTTTCCAGTTTAGTGTTTTTTGCAGAAAAGGATGAGGATGATACAAAATTCAAGAGCATCCCAGCTTCCTTCTGGTGGGCAACAATCACCATGACAACAGTAGGCTACGGAGACATCTACCCCAAAACTCTTTTAGGTAAAATAGTAGGAGGACTGTGCTGCATTGCTGGTGTGCTGGTGATTGCTCTTCCCATCCCAATTATTGTCAATAACTTCTCTGAGTTTTACAAAGAGCAGAAGAGGCAGGAGAAAGCCATTAAGCGCAGGGAAGCTCTTGAAAGAGCAAAAAGGAATGGTAGTATTGTTTCCATGAACATGAAGGATGCTTTTGCCCGCAGCATAGAACTCATGGACATTGTGGTTGAAAAGAATGGAGAAAGCATAACCAAAAAGGATAAAGTTCAGGACAATCATTTATCTCCCAGCAAATGGAAATGGACCAAGAGAACCCTTTCTGAAACTAGCTCTAGTAAATCTTTTGAAACTAAGGAACCAGGATCCCCAGAAAAAGCCAGGTCATCTTCAAGTCCCCAGCACTTGAACGTCCAACAGCTTGAGGACATGTACAACAAAATGGCAAAGACTCAGTCCCAGCCAAACCTTAACACTAAAGAGTCGAGTCAACCTGGAAGGCAAAAGGAAGAGCTAGAAATGGAAACCCTTCCCGGCCCTATGGTGCCCCTGCTGACAACTCGCACTGATGGGATCGTTGACATGAGGAGCATGTCCAGCATCGACAGCTTCATAAGCTGTGCGGCAGAGTTCCCCGACTCCGGGCGGTTCTCCCACAGCCCGCTCACCACCCTGCCCTGCAAGGGCGGCATTAACGTCATCCAGGAGCAGAGCAGGCCAGAGGGGAGCGGTGCCAGGTATGTGGAAATGAACCCGAGCTCCGAAGGCAGCCACCATTCTGCTTTTTTCATTGAAAGTCCCAAAAGCTCCATAAAGGCCAGTAACCCTTTAAAACTAAGATCTCTGAAAGTCAACTTCATGGAAGAGGACACCAGCACATTAGTACCAGCATCAAATGTACTGAGGATATATCCAGACTCTCTCAAGAGCCGGGGAGCTGCTGCTGCCACAGATACTTCCTTACTCTCTGACAGATCTCTCATGAGCCCAGAACCCTCAATCTACACAACTGCGAGTGCAAGAACCCCCCCAAAGTCACCGGAGTCACAGGCAGCCATAGCTTTCAACTTCCATGATGCTGGTATACACAAATACATAGACGCTGACACTGATGACGAAGGTCAGCTGATGTACGATTCCAGTCCGCCCGGAAATGTGAGTCCCAAGTACAATGTTACAAACAGTGGCTATCTAAAGCAAAAGGACCATGTTTATAGAACAGAGAAGAACCATCTAGAAGCTGCTGCTTTACCCACCTCCCCTAAGCTGATAGGGCAGAACTGCATTTACTCTATGGAAGGTATCACTGGAAGAACCCAGGGCAATCAGGAGACTGTCAGACTAGAAAATCACATTTCCCCAGAAGTCCATGTATTACCAGGCAGTGGAGGACATGCTAACACACATGATCAAAGCATCTGAGGTGGGCTCCAAAAGAACTTACTGAAAGTTTAAAGGAATGTCTTTACAGTCAACACAAACAAAAGAGCTTCTGCATGGCATGAACTTGGCTGAAACAAGCCACTTGTTTCTAAAAGTCTGGGGGAGGTCCAGTGTGGGTTTGTGAAAATGTCCTTCTCTGAAACAACTCTAAAGACATTGCCCACATCAGTCAAAAATAAGGATTGCAAATCATGATCACACATTGATCTCCTTTCATGTTGTCCAGTGAAGCCAATGTGACCAAATATCCATCCATTCCCCTTGAACGCTAGAGCTCCTTTTGGAAATATTAACATCTGATTTGCGTTAGTTCCATAAAGGATGCCAAGGCAGCCAGATTTGAACTCTGGAATAAATTGCTGGGGTTGGTATAAAGCTTTCAAAAACACAATGCTCACTGCTTCAGGGCAGCTGTTCCCCATCTACAGCTTTCTCTGATGGATATTATGTCTGAAGGTAACAGGGAACACTTGCATTATTGGAAAATCCGAGTGAAAACCATTTAAAACAAATAATGGTCTAGAGAAACCAATTATTAAAATGCTCTCTGTGTGTTTAACAATCCGATATCCTGTAGGACCTGATGTTTTCTTTTGAAATATCAGCAGGGTGAGTTGCACCACTTGTATCTAATCCCAAACATCCCCTAGGACATAGTGAAACTTGCACTGACCCTCTGCTAAGAGCCGGTACCTGCCCCAGGGCCAGCACGTGGCCCTCGGGGGCCCACAGCCCACGTGGGAAGGTGTGAAGGAGCCATGCAGAAGCAGGACTCTCCAGGGGCACCGCAGCCAGACCCCCTTCCCGGTGCCGGGGAGCGCAGGGCTGGAAGGAGAGCTCGGCTCTCGCCCTCGGTGGGGAGGGAGATGTGGCTGCGCTGCCCGCGGGGACGGTGAGCGTGGCCGGACCCCCGGTACGTGCCGGGGGCACCGGGACGGCTGCCTGGCCCCCCCTTCCAGCCTGCCCGCCGACTCCAGGCGCCAGCCAGAGTCTCGCCCTTGGCGTAGGAGAGGAACAGGTTGGTCCGAAGCTTTTTGCGCCCAAGCAGCGCAGTGAAAGATATGCAAGTGTTACATAAATATGCAAAAAGAGGGATTCGTTAGTGACCCGTCCCGGGCCTGGCTGTGCTCCCTCTCGCCAGGAGGTTGGACAGGAGAGGCTCCTGCAGAGCCATGGCATGAAGCAGCTGCGAGAGGCAGGAGAATCAGGCCTGACGTTTTAATAGCATCCAGTCATTTTTAAGTGAAATGAGAAAAAAAAAAAAAGAGAAAAAAAAAATATCTGACCATTTTAAGTGAACAGAACTAGCAGCCACCAGCCTAGGTTTTTAAAATATTATTGTTTCAATAAAGTTATGTCAAATTGTGTAGGAAATAATTTGTCTTTGGTTTTTAATCTTGGGGGGGAAAAGCACTTTACGTTGACTTTTTGTTGTCGTTGTTGCAATGCTGGAGTAGGATAGCAGAGTGTAACAATCAAGCACTTTAACCAAGCACTACTTTAATTTGTGCCTCCTGTTGTGACTGTGATTTGTTACACGCCTGTAGCAAGTCACAACCTGTCCTGTGATAACTGTGATGGTAATCTTTTCTGTTGTTCTCTGTTTCTACTGTAAAACTCAACTGTAAATAACTGTCGATGAGCGTTTCCTGACCTATTCCGAGTTCTGCCGGGGCGTGTAGCGATCTGCAGGCAGCAGGTCCGGGGACGAGCTGAGACACGGGACGCGGGAGCGGAGGCACAGGTGGGAGGAAGACCCCCCCCCCAAGCCGCTCGAGTCCGCTGCGTTTTGTTCCTTCCTATTGTAAAACCAAGCCGTTGGTTAGTCCTGAATGTACCGTCTGTCCGTCCAGGCCGTGCCGCACTCCTGTCTGTAACCCTAGTGGTGAATGCAGCATGTACGGACAAAAGCAATAAGCACATACCCGTTTTAGCAACTACCGTGGGTTGCGGTGAGAGCTTTGTTAGGTGTCTCCTTGGCACAAACTGTACACACGGTGGAGTGACTCTGCTCTGCTCAGCCGACCCTGGCCCCGGGCGGTGGGACCAGCCCAGGGACCCGCTCAGAGCCGCCCTTGCAAGGCGAGACCCCCGGGAAGGCGCGAGAGTAAGACCTGAGCCACCCCCTCAGGAATTACCCGCCCGCAGCGAGAGACCTCGCGCCACGCAAAGAGTGGCGCGGAAGGTACCCAAAAGAAGTCCCAGGCACCGCGTGCTCCACAGGGTATTTACACAGGGCCAGTTCCTGAGGTTTGTTCGCTTTTACTCTGCCTTCCCGCAGCCTAAACCACCGTTCCTCTGAGTGGGCTCTTTGCCTGGTGAAGGACTTTAGGATTTGGCCATAGTAAATACAAGTGTACTTAGAGGAACCGACGTATTGCTGAGATACTAGTTAAGATTGAGCTGACATGAAAAAGTGAAGTGACTTTCCAGCAGATAAGCTTTAAATACTGATTTATTCTGTGGCTTTCTGAGGCCACGGAGCAGCAACGAGAAATCTTAAGGAGAACAGTCTTAACATAATCTCTGTGTTTTAGTGATCATTCATGTCTGCCATCTGCACAACTGTAAAAAGAAGAAAAATCAGGGAAAATTTTTTTGATAAAGTAAGTAATAGTGATTTCCAAGTTAAATATTTTTAGAGCTGATGCTTTCATGTGGAAAAAAAAGTCATATTTTACATATCACAAAAGTGAACATATTTAAATATAGCCATATAGTGTAGTATTTACCACACTCTCATCAAAATTGATGTATTTGGTTTATAGATGGCACTGACAAAAATGTATAGATCAACAATTCTATCATTTTTTATCTGATAATCAACTGGTGCAACTCTCCTTGTAACCAAAGGCCCTCTGTCTGCCTTGTGTGATCGCTCACGACACACACCTTATGTCATCTATTTAGTCCTACCTTTAAAGTAGCATTTTATTGAGTCACTTTTGAAAGCCAAATTCAAAAGTATCATTAAAAATCTACCTTTTAAGTCTGAATAGCCAAAGTCCTATAGATTTCTTATAGAAAGCAAATAATTAAAAATTAAGCATATAATATGCTTGAAGAGCATTTCTTTCTTATTTGTGTATGAAGATGTAGCTCTCATTTTGTGCCCAATTAAAAAGGAAGTATGTTTAATTTATTTTAATGAAATAAAGTCTGAATATGAAGTATGTATCTATATATGTGTGTGTGTGCATAATACACATATATATAATGTAAGCACTGGGAAATCTACTCTAACCTAAAGCTGTGATAGACTAAATCTGTACTCATTGCAAAGGAAAGGCAGTGCTTTGAAATCATAATGCTCACCAAATCCTATAGACCCTAGAAAGACAATTTAATTTTATAGTTTGTTTGATAACATGTTTCCCAAAGTTCATAACAGTTGGGGAAAATAGGCAGTATCTCCTGCATGCAGTATCTCCTGATTAAAGCATGCAGTTTAATCACTGATATTTGGCATTCAGGTCTGTGAATTTACTGTGCACCATATATCAAGCAAGCTGACAGAGCCTCACCTGCTGCTGCAGAAGACTTCACACCTGAAAGGACTATGTATGTGTGATGTCTGCGCTTGCTTGTATCCTACACCATCAACGTTGCTTTTAATACATATCTATAAATATATATATAGAACATATATATATGTGGAAGGAGTGGGTGCAGTTTTCTTAACCAGGAGGCAAAGATTCTTTGAGTTTTAGCCTTGAACAGAGGAAAAAAGCCGTGACATTGCAGTAGATTTCTCAGTGCCTTTTCTTAGAAACTTCACCTAAGCACACTTATGGAAAAAAACAAAAACAAAAACAAAAAAAACAAAAAACAGAAAACAACCCAAAACAAAAGAGTCTCCTGTGAAATCCACATTTTTCTGAAAGGTTCGAGAGTCAATAAAGGTAGAAGAAAGGAGGAAAAAAAAAAAAGAGAGAGAGAGAGAGAGGAAAAGAAAACCCGTGGAACGCACATTCCCTTCCTGAACGTGCCGTGTGTCAAATGCCGGGGAATATCCGCCTGTGCGAGTCACGCAGAAACACATCCGAGGCCGTCGGTTTCTTTGGCAACTATGGCTGTGATAAACTGTAGCCTTTTCTTCCCTTGCAGCTAATAAGATACACATTTCTAAGGAAAACAGTATTCTCTTCTGTAAAATTGTAATGTATTGTTAATATTTGTACCTATTGTATATTTATGTCTTGACAGAATTATGACTGGTACAGTTTATAGTCAATAGCAAGGGTATGTAAAACTCATTGCAAAGACAAGGTCTCTAAAGCCACGTTCTCTCTCTGTTGGTAAGCTCCACATAACATGACCTCCACCATTTTTTAACATCTCATTTTAAAGCGAATTGTAGAATTACTGAATAAAGCAGTCGGGCGATGGAGAACCAAGTGGCACCAGTGCCCTCCTGCACAGTCCAGCCGGGAACGACGTGGGGACTTGGCCTTCCCCGGTCACTCCAAATTAGCTCCAAACCCTTCATGTTCGGGCAGTCACTTCTGCTTACGGTAATCAGACTGAACTAGTGTTACCTTGGGTTGCTTTCGGATCACCCACTTGGGGAGAATATGGCTTTAAATAGTTCTTGAATAAAGTACAGAAGTTCCAGTTACCTCTGTACCTCCTGCTTGCCATTGTGTTGGCTTTATAAGTATCTGATGTATGGAAAAGTCATGTGACTTTCATGCATTCCAGAGTAGTCTATTTTTCTGTTCAGATTTAAAAAAAAAAAAAATTAATTATATATATATAAAAATATAAATATATATCTGTATTTTTAGCAAATTTATAATAGGGCGATCAAGTCAGATTTCTTCTTTTTGTATTACAGAATAATATATTAGATGCTTTCTTGGTGTTCATTTACACAGCTGATCCCCCAACCTTTTTGTTGTCACTATTTTCTTCTGTTCTGATAAACACCTGCAACATCCCCTCCTGGAAGTGCGTCTGCGAAAGGTCGCGGAGTTTGTCTGATGTTGTCATGTTTTTGTATTTTCCTGTTTGTGGTACTTAAAACTAACCAGAGACTGCCTCTGGAAACCGAGATGTTCCTTCTGAGAAACACAGAGCGGGCCAGACCCTGCCCTCAGTGATGGCAGGGGAGGTGTCAGCCAATGCCACTGGCTGCAGTGTTCTTCCAGATGCACATTGATTAAGCTGAGAACATAAAGAAGAGACAGGATTTGAATCAGGCAGCGCTCCCACCCTCAGGGGAGTTTTTCCTGGGTTAAAACAGAAGTGTCAAGACTTTCATTTCCCACTGGCTTTTGGAATTTTTATTTTTGGTCCCAGAGAAAATCAGGAGATGAGAAAAAATTACGGAGGAATGAGCAACCTGAACGTAAACATTCAGAAAGGGATTTTGATTTGGTTATGGTCAAGTTTGTCCATGTACCTGCTTACTTAATGATCCTCCTTGCTCCCTTTACAGCTGTACCCTCACAGAAACTGAATAAAAAGTCCATGAGATAAATGTGCATCCTGAAGCTATCTCATGGCCTGGTGAAGTTCAGCATGATGAAGAGCTTCAGACCCGCTCTGTAGCTCTGCACAGACATCTCCTTTTGAATGCACCCACTAGTCTGGTCAGTGACCATGTTTTTGCCAAAGATGGAGTTCTGGTTCCACTTCCTTTTGTTTGCTTGTGTGATTTTCCTACATGCCCACCACAGTAGCCGATAAACCTGAAACAGATTTAATTTGGGAAAATGTGTGTTTCAGAAAGTCCAGATACCACTCGAATGAATGGAATAACCAGTAGACCCAGGCTTGCATGTTATTAATTATCAGCAAGGCCCGTTCACACATGAAGATATTAAAGCTGGGTAGGATTTTTCTGTTCTGGGAAGCAATTAATGCAATAGCCCCCCATATCTGTCATCAACAGTCACATTAAAGGTCCCTTCAAAAGGCACCTTCCATGTCAGGTTTGTTTGAGCATAGTCAACAAAACCATAGAAAGCTTCCAGTCACACCAGTCTTAACTTCAACCTCCCATACCAGGACAGGAACGCCCCAAATACCAACCAGCCCTCTGAAGAAGAGATGTTTATTTTCCAGCATGTGTCTCATACCCCATGCTGATCACATTTAGGCTCTTGCACTGAAACTTTGTCTTGCCCAGACAAAGGAAACCTTAGGAAAACTGAAAGTCTGCATCCAGGCTGTGTATCCCCTTTGTTGCTGGTGTTACCTAAGCCACAATAAGTGTCCTTTGACACCAATGGTTGGGTGCCACAAGTGTTCATATCTGTAAATACTACTCAGAATTTTGCTTTGCTTGATTCTGGCTTCATCGCACAAGAAGTTTTCAGTCTAAAGGCTTAGAAGAGAAAGCAAAAGCTTCCTTTTTCTTTTTAACTAGAAATAATACTATTGATGCTCTGTAGGACTGAACAAGGATTAACCTTTGTTTTTAAAGGGGTCTTTTCAAGACTGCAGTGACACTACCTTCAGAAATTAATAATCAGGCTGGACTCAGTACAAAGACCCCTCCAAACTAGAGCCTCATGGAAGCCAGGGAGCCAAATTTGCATGAAATGCCAAATTCTTTGCTGCTGTAAGTAAAAGCCCATTTAGACCAGTAAAGAATTTGGACCCATATCTCTAAAAACTAATGGAAAACTAATAGCTTTGTATGACCTCAGGGCTGGAGGTGTCTGCCCACAGTACCTCCAAGGAAACCAATGGCCTGAGACAATGGGAAACAGAGGCAGGTCAGTGAAAGCCTGGGAAAGGAGCAAATCCTTCAGTCAAGAGGATGACAAACATGTCATTCCAAACTTGACCGAGCATCCGTCCATGTCAGCTCACTCGTGGACTCGATGCCACAAGTGCCATCCCAAATTCACAGGTGACTGTCCCTACAGCAGGACCACAACCCCAGCCCCACAGTTCAACACCCTCTGCCCTCGGTCCAGGGGCTTACTGATGCTAGGAGGACACCACTAGCACATGGGCCAATGGTTACCTTGGATTGTGGCACAACCTCTGGTCCTGTTGGTAACCAACATTTGAGGCAATTCACCCATTCTTCTCTCTCTATTTCATTCAGGAGCTCTGCCCTTTATGACTCTTCTTCCTGCAATGTTTCACTGCCTCCAAGTACCATTAGCCACGTACCGTTGGCTCCTGCCCCTGTGATTTATTTTGTTTATGTCACTTTTGTTGCCTTGTGACAAAGAAGAACATTTTTTTTCCCCTTCCTCTGGCTTTTTGGTGGTGGGTGCAGAAAATTGCTTTTGCATTGAACCATTCCCCACTAGTGTGCTTGGGGGATGGGGGAGCAGCATCTCCATGTTACTTTGAATTTTGAAGCCATGGTACTGTACTCAGAAAGGCCAGCCACAGCTACCAACCAAACTCGCTTTCCAACTAGATTAGCATTAAAAAAGTACACCCCAACTTCCTGCAGCAGAATCCTGCTCTCCTCATCAGGCAGGGGAAGCAGTTCCTGAAAGGGGAGAAAACATCAGAGGGGCACTGTTACGAGTGCTGATTAACGACGACTCCACACCCAGAGGAGGACCCGGGGCTGTGCTGCACATGAGGCTGCTCCACATTTCCCAGGACCGGGAGCAGCCTCGGGACCTCCTTGTCTAAAAGCCCAGGGCAGCTGCTGGACCTGCAGGGCCCCCGAGCCCAGGTAAGGGCTTCCCAGTGACACCTCCAAAGGGCAGCAGCTGAGCATCCCTGGTCACTGAAGGATAGGAAAGCTGTGGGGTTCCTTTTAAAAGAAAAATGTGATATTTAACAACAAATAAAAACTGGAAAATGTGTTTCCTGTGCCTCTGCTGGTACACGGAGATGGAATTGCTTTTGTAGCTGGAAATTGAAAGCGACTGACCCAGAAAGGGCAGACTGGGACCGGCTTCTCCCTTACCTTGCACTTTGGTTATTTTATAACCTGTGCAATGGGGAAGCAATGGGGAACCCAGGTCAGTGTAAGGAAGAGCAGTGCTTGTCTGTAAGGAAGGGCAGTGCTTGTGCCTGACAGCCCAGCAGATCCTGCACCTCTTGCACAATCTCTTCATTGGATTATATTGGATCCACCTGAGGGGCAATGCGCCAGCAGATTTGTTTTCTCCTCTTTTGAGAAATGTTTCCATGCCCTGGCACTTTGGGGTGATTATAGCAACATTAGCCATATACTAGTGTACTTAGAGTCTTACATTTTTTGTAACTTTGATTTAGTCATTCTTTGTTGAAGTTTATTGACCTCTCCGGTTGTTTCCGTAAACAAATTATTAAAAAAAAAATAAAAATCCGTGTCTTTATATGCATGTAGTAGTATGAAACTGTGATCAATGTGTGACATTCAGAAACTGTACTGTCTTGTAAAATATGTCCAAATGTCTAAGGGTTTTAAAGCAATGGTCCCTTACTACAGCCTACAGAAATAAATAAAAAGGTATGGATAAACCCAAAGCCTTCATTGCTGTGTTTCATGGTCACATACACTGGCCAAAAATACAACTCTGATCCGCTGGCACTGAGCTTCGGCTTCAGCTCATTGCAGCTGACAGCAGGTTTAGACATATGTTATTTGCTCACGGATAAGGCCGTGATTCAGGAAAGCAGTGCCGAGCCTGACACCTCCTGTTGAAAGTCTGACAGATCCGGTGCACAAACCTTCAGTCCTCACCCTACATGGACAAAACCCATCCACATCTCCCGGCACCATAGCCGGGCTCAGGGACCGGGGCCTCGCCCAGCTCCTCTGTGCACAGACCAGGGATGTGCAGCACACACATGGTCCCTGTCACACACGTGGTCCCTGTCACACACATGGTTCCTGTCACACACGTGGTCCCTGTCACACGTGGTTCCTGTCACAAATGTGGTTCCTGTCACAAATGTGCCCTCTGTCACAAATGTGGTCCCTGTCACACACATGGTTCCTGTCACACACGTGTCCCCTGTCACACACATGGTCCCTGTCACACACGTGT